ACCTGCTGCATGTCTAATATTAAGCTATGCACATTCACTGATTCCTCACAATTATCCTGCCAGAAAAGTATTTGTTAGCCTCATTCTTCACATGAGGTTCAAAGAAATTAAATTAACTTGCCCAAGACTACACAGCTACAACACAATGGTGCTGAGGTTTGAGCCTACACCTGTCTGCCTCCATCTCTAGTCCATATTAAGGTCTTCTCTGAACACCAGGGAGCCAGCTAGAGAATCCAGAAACCTCAAGGTCTGCACATCCCAAGCAGCTACATACACTCTTGGGAAGTCCTCCTGGATGTCTGACTTAAATCTCTTCTGCTGCACCAACCTCCAGTTGCCTCCTAGGTTTTTGGGAGGGCAGTGAGAAGGGTGACTTCAGGGACTTCAAGAAGTGGGTCACGTCACTGGGGACCTGGCCTTTCCCAGGGAGTAGGCAGCTGAACAATGGGAGATAAATGTGTGAAACCATTCCTGTTACTAAATATATCAACTTCCCAGGAGGATGGGGGTGCTGACAGGGAGCTGGGGGCCCTCACCCTGGAGGCCACAGTCTTGTGGCTCAGACAAGCTGGGGCACTCGAGCAGCTGAAGCTGTTTCTGCTGTCCCGGGGGCTGGGCAGAGGAGGCAGGAGGCCAGCATGGAAGGGGGCGACATCTCCTTCTCCCAGCCAAAGCTGCCAAGTTCAGGCTGGCTTCTTTGCATGTTATTTTGGATATATTTACATACCACTTTCTAAATGGAGCCCACTTTCTTCAGCCACTGCCTCTCCCCCATTTTCAGAATCTCTGGTCATTGCACACCCCATTTTTAAGCAAAGAGGAGCTCCTTGTCAGGTACTGGTTGGGGGAATTGGGAGAAACCAAAAAGTTGCAAATTTACAATGACAACCTAGACGTCAACACACCTCAATGGCAGAAAGTGCTGTCTGTAGTCTAACCTCAATTCCATTGCTCTTCTCCTGCTCTACCCCAGCCCAGTCCTCCTGCCCACCTTTTAATTTCTGGTTTAGGTCACTCTTAAGTGCTGCAGTCCTTGCACATAGCCATGCTTGGTCTCACCTGAAGGCCTTTGCATATGGCACAAGCTTTTCCTGGAGCTGTCCCCCTTCACCCTGTCCTAAGAACAGTGACTCTCTTTTCCAAGGCCAGTCCCAATGGTCCCTCCTCCTAAATTCCTCCCCTGACGCCTGCAGAGGGGTCTGTATCTCTATAGTGCAGTCATATTTGGGCAGCACAGAGGGAGAGGAGGGCCTACCAAGCATGAATGAATGAACAAACGAATGAGGTGTGATTCCCCTCCCATCTCTCTCAGTGCCCACAAAGGGGCTCATCAGTCTCCCTCTCCCCTAGATGACTTCACTCACCTTCTGGAGAGTCAGGGTTGGATACTGCCTTTGCCTCCAGTCCTAGGAGAGACTTCCCTCCTCATCACCATAGTCCCTTCTCCTCATGCCAGGAGATGCTGGCAGGAAGTTCTTTCAGTTGTCTGTCCTCACTCCATTTTCTGAACATGTCTGCTTCTTTATCATTATTTTTGGAGAGTATTCATAGTCTTCTACCATGTCAGTTTCACTGTCTATAGATGAAACAGAAGCTGCTCTTTTCTCCTAATTTGTCCTGGACCACTGTGCCCTGCCTGGCCCCACTTACAGGACAGATGGTGACCTGGGGAGAAAGGCCAAGCAGCATGCCCCAGTAGCATGGAGTAGTCAGGCCCTGGAGGGAGGCCCAGGGAAGACATAACCACCACAAGGGAAGGGATGAGCATTCTGTTTCTGGGGGTGTGCAAGCAGGGGGTGGACAGATCCGTGGGCAGGCTGCATAGGGGAGTAAAGCAAACATCAAGAAGGCAGTTCAGATGTTCTTAATGTCCTCTCTTACTCGGAGGCTGCACTGAGCCCAGGTGTCCAGTCTGCACTGGGAGTGGGGTGGGGGAAGCAAGAGGAGGCAGTCCCTGACTTTGAGGGACTTTTTGTTTGGCTAAATAAGGGACCCACACAGAGGGCATTGCAAGGGGAGACTAAGTCTGAGCTACATTCGTGATACTATACCATGAAGTAAGGACTCAAGAGAGATATTTCAAAATGGCCTGTGGGGTCAGGAGGAAGAGAGAACCAAGGAGGGCATCCTAGAGGTGGCTTTCTAGTCAAACTTCTTTCTCCAGCTCCCTAATTCTACAAAACAAATGCCTAGCATTTGAGATCCTACAAAATCTGGCCCCTTCTGCATTCTCTTCCTTTTCTCAATACCCTTTTGCACTCCTGTCATCCAAAACTCTTTCTGTAGCCTGAATAGGCCATGCTCTCTCATACCTTTGCACCTCTGCATGCTGTTCCTTCTACCCTTCCCTGACTAAACACCTTCTACCGTTTGGTGCTGTGGGTTAATGCGCTGGAGTGCAAAGTTGGTTTGAACCACAAGATCGGCGGTTCAAGCTCACCAGCTTCTCCTCAGAAACCCTATACAGGATAACTATGAGTCAGAACCAACCCAACAGCACTTAACCTTTCCTCCAGAACCCAGGTCAAATGTCTTTTCCTCTGACGCCCTGACTGGGTGTGGAACCTCTTCTGGGTTCCCACAGTTCCCTGGGGCTTCTCTCTGCACAGTGCTGCTCACATTGTGGCGTTATAGGTTTCCACTTCAGTCTCCCTCATCAGACTGGGCTCTCCCTGAGAGCAGAAGTCAGAGGAGTGCTGCTCTGGTCTGACAGCTGAGGGTGAGACTCTCAGTCCATTAAGACTGAAGGGTCAGTGCTGGAGCTCTGCCCCCCTCCCTCCCATTTGGCTAGATCCCAGCCAAGCCATCAGTAGCCCCTGGGGACAGGAGGCTGGAGTGGGAAGCAGGAAGAGTAGCAGGAGCTGCTTGGTGGGCAGAGGGAACTGGGGGGTGCAAGGAGTCCAAAGGCAGTTAACCCTCACTGAGCTGACCCGGAGTCCCTGAATCCTGCCCTGGGGGACTGCTCTCCAGTTGACAGCTCAGTCAGCCACGAGATTCTGAGCAGAGTTTGAAGAAGGAGACTGGGACTCAGATCTGATGGAGGAGGTTCAAGCCCAGCCTTGCAGTTAGAAGTGTGTGTGTGTGTGTGTGTGTGTGTGTGTGTGTGTGTGTGACAAAGCCACAGCCTCAGTTTCCTTGTATAGGCAGTAGGTGATTCCATGTTCTCTTGTTGCCTTGGTCCAACATCCATGTTGCCTTGGTCCAACATCCAGTCACCTGAGCCTGACATGCTGCCTCAGATCCCTCCACTGCACCCCCACCCTAGTACAAACCTGAGAGGCCTCAATGCTCCCTCCCCCACCCTCTTCAATCCAGTCTTTCCCAAACCTTCAGACTTCTCCCTTCAGAAGACCCTGGTCTCATCTATCCATTACTGTCCATCAAGGTCTCACTAATCTCCTGCATTGGCCTGACCTCCACACTGGCCTTTTGGCCCCCACCTCTCCCTTCCAGTTCAACCTTGACCACATCCCTTCCCTGCTCAGCACCCTCAGGTTCAGTAAGGCCCTCAGGTTAAAGACCAAGAGGTCTGAAGCTCAAAGCCTTGCCTAATGTGGCTCCTGCCAGTCCCTTCAGTCTCTGTCCACTGTTCCCTTTCACACAACCTCAGTTCCAACCCAAGGCTGTTGCCTGTGCTATACCCCTCCCCACCTGTTAGCTTGATCCTGATCTTTACTGCTTAATTCTTCTCCAACTGTTTTATGTGAAGCTTAGTAGGTCCCAGAGGGCAGAGTCCTTACTGCTTATTCCTTTTCCCCATCTCCCCACAGAGTGTAGAATGAATAGTCCTGGGCTCATGGGGGAGGTCACACTTTCAGCCACCCACTCTCCACCCCAGTGGGCCATAGTACCCCAGCTGTATCCTAAACCACCAGAGGATGAAAATAGCCACCCACGCACACACAGTTGAACACACATGCATAGACATATATACCCATATACACCAACCACACGAGGGCCAATATATACATTCATGCTATTGCACATTAGCACCCAAACCAGAACACTTATGCTAACACACACTGATATTCATATACTAACAAATATACACACAAATATGAGTGCGCATGGAATCAAACATGTTTATTGAGACCATTCATTTTATAGACACAGCACATTGTAAACATGCATGACAACACTCATGCACACCAACCTGCACTCAGTCATGCAAAGATGAATTCACAGTCACACAGGGATGTTCATGCACCACGAGGCTGCTGTACTTCCAACCACCAGACCCCCAAATCCTACAGCCCCTTGCACCACATGTGTCCTCACACACTTCATATGTGTACACACACACACTCTCACTCAGACTGACACAAACATGTACCTCCACTGCCTTGGAGACCTACATACACATCTCCTATCTTCAAACAGTAAAGAGACACCTCCATTGAGCCCCCCTCCACTCACCTGCACATATACACATACCCCTGCACGTGGGCACACATGAGGCTGGCTTCATTCCAACTAATCCCATGGCTCCCTCTATCCCATTTTGGGACAGAAGGTTTGGAATAAAGTTGCATAAAATGACAACCCTGAATCCCCATTCCAGGGGGAGGAGGGTGGCTGCCTCAGACCCTCTCCTGCTCTTGGGTCACACTCATTCAGTCTCTCTCTCTCACACACACTGTCCATCTCCATGGTCCTGAAGCATCCTATTCCCTCACCCCAAAGCTCTTTGGAACTCCTCAGCAGACCTTCCCCACCCCCATGCCCCAAGGGATGGCTCACGTTCATTACCAAACCCTCACCCAGTTGGCAGCCCCTACTCTAGCCTCATTATCCCCTAGATTGGTGCCAAGCTCCCCCACCCTACGGAGTCTCTCAATAGACTGCAGTCTGGGAACCCAGCGCCCAGGACCAGAATCGATCCTCCCACGTGGCTCAGCTGCACGCCTAGCCCAGATCCATGGAGGGACTAGCAGGACCCTGTCCACAGCACCTCTTACAGTCACACACTTGGACCCCAGCCCATTGCTAGTACTCACTGCTCAGCCGGTCGCGCTGCCGGGTACTGCTGGCTCCTGCAGAGGATGGAGTGGCCACACGCCTGCCCCATCGCTCCTCATCGTCTGCTTTCCCCGGCAGACTAAGGTGGCCCTTCGCCCTGTCCACCCTGCCCAGGGTCCTGGGCCAGGCAGTTGGCCAGGCAGGCACAGGGGCCAAGAGTAGGGGCCTAACCCCCACTCAGCCTGGACTCAATACCCCAACCCAGCTCTGCTGCCCCGGCTGCTCCCGCCTCTCTGGCTGCCTCTGCCTGCCGCTCTGGCTGGCTCTGGGAGGAGGTTGGAGCAGGTCTGATACTGCGGGAGGGGGAGGGAGAAAGGAGGAGGAACAGAGAGAGGCCCAGACAGAGAGAGGGAGAGGGAGGGAGGGAGGGGTAGAGAGACTTTCACTGGGAGAGAGGAAAAGAAAGACTCACACACAGAGGAAGAAACAGAGACATGTAACCCTGAAGAGCAATATTCAGACATGAAGAGAAGAGAGGGATAAAAATGGAAATACAGAGATTAGAGAGGCATGGGGGTGGGGTGGGGGAGCACACACTGAGGAACAGAGACAGAAAAAAAAAAAAAAAAACCGAGCAAAGAAATGGAAACAGATAAGAGAGGCTGATGGAGTCCAGAGAGCAGAGAGGTGTGAAGATGAAGGGTTTTACAATCACTCTTCCATGGGCTGCAATGGAACCAGGACACAGGTGGATGGGACCCAGGCCGTCTTCTATTCCACCAAGTCTGGGAGGGCCAGAGCCCCAGGTAGAGCTAGTTTCCACCTCCTGTGGGCTCCTTCACTTGGTTTGTATCATGTTCTAGGATTCATCCACAGCTTGGAATTGGGCATACAGGTGGCTCAGGAGCTTTTTGCTGATGACGATTGGACTTGAAAACTTGTCATGGAGCCCATATCTTGATGGCTTTGCTTGGCTGGGACACCCACTATGGGAGCTGGTTGGCCTGATCACAACTTCCACTAGGGGGGATGAAGCCAATGAAATGAGGGTATTTAGGCAGTGGGGCAGGTAGGGTGCAGTTTCAGCACAGCTTCTTTTGTACAGAAAAAGCTCTGCACCTTGAGGCAGAAGATGAAGGTTTGAGTCCTGGATCCACCAACTTGCTCATCCTCTTATTCACAAATACCTACCACGAGTCAACCCCATCAGATGTGGCATAGACTGTCCCTGCCTTGAAGAAGCACCCGATTCTGGGGTGGATGGGGAGTGGGGAGGGAAGAAGGGCAGGGACTTGCATTGTGACAACAGGAGGCACAGTGAGGTACTATGGAAGCCAGAAGAGGCCTCAAACCCAACCATGACATCGGCAAGCATTCCCAGAAGAGACCTAAACTTAATCTTCAAAGGCAAAGAGGGGACCCCAGGACAGTGGGATGTATTCCAGGCTAGAAAAGCTACATGTAACCCTCACTAGTAAACCTGCTTCTCCAGGCTGTAAGTGGAACAGTCCCTGTCCCACACAGCAGGCTCCAGGTAGCAGAGCCCATGATACTGAGTGGAAACTTGGACCATACTGATGGGCAGGGGTGTGCAATGTAGCACGAATGACTGAGCTCACAGAGCAGACCTGTCCAGACTGAATGTTGCACAAAGCAGTAATCTTGTGGCTCAGGAAGTGTCAGGGGAAAAAATGTGATGAAGTCTTTGCTTCCAATTGCAGCCCAAGGGTAGAATTTTATATCTGAAATCTTTGGAAAAACTGGTTTCTCTCTTAAAGAGATGAGGCCCAGACTGGTCCTAAACCTGCAGAGTCAGTCCAGAACCTGTCTTGCCTCTTATTCTAACACAACTCTGGGGCCTCGATGCTCCATTCCTGCTGGCTGAGCAGTCTTTCTCAGGGCTTAAGCCAGTTGAGGAGGCCCTGGACCATCCCCTTCACCCCCTGAGGGCCTACTCACAGGCCTGAGTAGGCTGGCTGTAAGAAGCTGAGTCAGAGACCTCCCATCCCCCAGCACATTACAGTTCTAGGGAGGGGCCCTCTTAGGTGAGGATGGACCCAGGTGCACTGAGGCCTCACCTGGCCCAAAGTCTTCTTTCTGCCCTTCCATTCTGAAAATGCTGGTGGTAGCCTCATCTTCAGAACCCCCTATGGGAATATGCTCAAGAAATTAGGTAGGAGGGAGGGTATCCCTCCCATCCCACTGATACAGGACTGCACAGTAGCCACACAAGTAGGGAGCCTGAGGGCATATGGGACAAGTTCTAGGACTTAGCTGATCTAATGGGTCCTCCAGGATTTACCACAGGTGGAAGCTCACACCAGCTCTATCACCTCTCTGAACTTTAATTTCCTCATCTGAAAGAATGAAAGGGTCACACATTTTAAACCAAAGGGTTGTAAGGTTTGAGGGGGGGGGGAGTGGGGTGGTGGTGGAGGGTGTGGTGTCTGTAAAGCTCCCCATAAACAACACACCCTTCCCTTCCCTTCCACTGAAGAGGTAGGATTTAGGGGGCTGAGGACATCCTAAACTTGGGATAGGGATTCCTGCAGGGCAGTGATGGGTCCGGAAGGAGTAAAAGGGAAGAGGGCTAGAGGCAGTCCAAGGCTGCTCTTCCCTCCTATAGACAGGAAAGCCCAGCTGCAGTAGGACCTTCTACAATGAAGCCCCGCCCCCGGACGCTATCCAAGGTTCTGATTCGTGTCGACTCTCTCATAGGCCCAGGCCCGATGCCCTGCAGCCCCATCAGCTGCTGCTGTTAGTTGCCTAGAGTTGATTATGACGCACGGCGATCCTGTATGTGCACAGTAGATCAGCTCCGTAGGACTTTCAAGGCTGTGACCTTTCGGGAGCATATCGCCAAGCCTTTTTTCCGAGGCGTCTCTATGTGAGCTAGTATTTCAGCCTTTTTGCTAGTTGTCAAGTACTTAGCCGTTTACACCACCCAGAGACTTGGCCATGAGCAGACATCGTTTTTTTCCCTGCTAGCTGGTGGTGGGTGAGAAGAGGCAAGATGCTTCTAGGAGACGGGGTGGCTGCTCAAAGCTATGGGAGAATGTAGCCTCGGGAACTTGATTCCTTCCAGTTCCAACCGCCTCAAAAGGGCTCCAGGCTCCAGAGGCTCTAGCTGCCTCCTCAGTGACAAAGGGGGTGGCATCTTCTCCTCTCCCACTCCCTCCTGCGTGGCTGGTTCCCTCCCACCTTCCAGATGGCCCCTCCTCTGTCTCCCTCCCTGGCTTATCCTGTCCTCGCCCCCTCAATATGGATGCTTGTCACAGAAGCATCAGGCGCTCATCTCTCCTCATTCTCCACCCTACCAGGCCCCAGGGAGCATGGAGCTGTCCTTCAACATCAAACAACTCCTTGTGCCTCCTGCCGCCCAGCTTTCTCTTGGGAGCTCCAGATGTAGCTCCACTGGCTACCTGCTGGACATCTCCCCTAGGGATAGCCCTTAAAGGGTCCCTCACACTCAAATATTCAACATCCAACATACTTCCCCAATTTCCTATCTTTATCAAAGACATCAGCAAACTTCTAATTCCCAGGCTGGAAACTTCAAAGACACTTTGCCTCTTTTCTCCATTTCCTGTGTCAGATCTGCACAAAGGCCTGTTAACTCCCCCTCTGCAATTCTCACATCTGTCCCCTCCCTCCACCCCACTCCTCCTGCCCCAGGTTCCTTCTTCCCATTCATCCCCAAGCCAGCTTAGTTCACCCTCTCTAGCCCACCTCTACCCTGCACTTACACCCAGCATTCTAAGACATCTATGTGGTCATGTAACTCTTCAAATCCTTTACATGGTTCCCGGTGTCCTCAGGATAGAGGCAAAGTTCCTTCTTCCTCTGCCTGGCATTTGAAGACTTTCATGATCTGTTCCAGATGAGGCAGCATCTGGTCCTAAACACATTCTAGTCCTTTCCTCCTCTGTGGTACTGTGCAGACTGTTTCTTCTCCCAAATGACTTTTTTTTCCCCTTCCTTTTCTCTGTCCACACTGTATCTATCCTTCCTGGCCTAGTTCAGCATACATCCTGCCCCTCTACTCACACGAGACATAAATCGCTGGCTTCTGGGCAGAGAACTGAGCAGCCTTTGGCTACCTCTTCCTTCCTTGAACTTGCCATCTATATCACCACTTTATTTCCTACCTAGGTTCAATTGATTTCTACGGGATCATGCTTCCCTCAAGGGCTGGCCCAAGTTCTAGTCACCTCTGCCCTGTCTTTGGACAGCCTCAGTAGGTATAAGTGAAACAGGAAAGCTATAAGAGAGCTGGGGAAACGAGGTGGTGTGCATCAGAGCTCAGCTCAGGGTCACTAAGAGGTTACAGGTGTGTATGAGGACGCAGGTGGTAGTGGCAGGCCCTCATTGACTTGCTCCATGGATATCCTCTACCCCTGGGGCAAACTAAGGCTGCAGAATGTGAAATAGCCCTAGGCTCTCTGAAGACAGGATGGTAATTGGCAGAACGTAGATTTCACGGAGGGTTAGCCTGAACCTCCCTGAGCGACTCCCTTTGGCTTGGGGGCCAGGATGAGTCCACATCTGGTCTTTGGGCAAGGATTCCAGGTGTGTGTGTATGTGAAACAGTGAGGAATACAGGGGGCCATCTCAATATGCTCCTCCCCCTCTTCTCAGCCAGGAAGCTGCCACTGTAACTCTGAGGACAAAGGCAGTTCTATGTCCTCGAATACGTCTGGTCTAGTTTTGCATTTCTGCATTAAGCACATATCCTGTCAAACCATGGCCCAAAAGATCTTGGCTGACAAAGGAATAAAGGCCACCATAGCCTTCAGAATGGGTCTAAGGTGGGACAGCTTCTTCATACAGCTCAGGAAGGTGGTTTTGGGAGCCCAGAACCCAGGGTTGAGAGGTAATGGATCTGCTTCAGGTTCCAGAATCCATCAGCACTTCCTTATGAGGGAATATCATGCTTGGTAAAATGGAGGGGCGCAGAAAATGAAGACTCCCAACAAGATGGATTGGCACAGCAGTAGCAATGATGGGTTCAAACATGGCAACGACTGTGAGGTTAGCCCAGGACAGGGCAGTGTTTTGTTCTGTTGTGCATAGGGTCGCTATGAGTCGATACTGGCTCGATGGCACCTA